CCTCCTCCATCCCCAACTCCTCCTCTGTCAGTAGGGATTCAGCCTTCTGATTCTCCTTTGAATCAGACTAATTCTAAAATGTGTACATAAAATTATTGAACTTTAACAATATCTGCAATACATTTATGTTGGTTCTGTTTTGTTTACCCTGGGGGGTTATTGCTGCTCTCCCTGCTCTCATCCATGCTAGGCTGCATGGATGCGCAGGGAGTTCTTGCCCAGAACAGAACCATACCGCCAATCCAAACTGTATGCTAATTGTCAATCATCTTTGACGATAGTGGTCCTGACAAAAATAATGTTTCCCAACAGGTCTTGCATTGTTTGGATAAAGACGTACACTACCATTTTTTATTAATACTTTCAAGGACACATTAATTAAACAAAATTGACAGTAAAGAATTTATAATGTTACAAGAATCATGTTTAATCGCTGTTATTTCGAACTTTCTATTCAGTAAAGAATCCTGGGGGTAAAGTATCATGGTTTCCACAAAAAATGTTAAGCAGCAATGTTTTCAACATTGATAATAATAAGAAATGTTTCTTGAGCACCAAATCAGCAGATTAGAATGATCATGGATCATGTGACCCTGAAGAGTGAAGTAATAAATTCTGAAAATTCAGCTTTGCCATCACAGAAATAAAATTAAATACATTATATATAAGAAGTTATATACAGTGGGTACGGAAAGTATTCAGACCCCCTTAAATTTTTCACTCTTTGTTATATTGCAGCCATTTGCTAAAATCATTTAAGTTAATTTTTTTTCCTCATTAATGTACACACAGCACCCCATATTGACAGAAAAACACAGAATTGTTGACATTTTTGCAGATTTATTAAAAAAGAAAAACTGAAATATCACATGGAATTTAAGGGGGTCTGAATACTTTCCGTACCCACTGTATATAGAACATTTATTTTAAATTGCAATAATATTTCACAATATTGCTGTATGCTGTATTTTTGATCAAATAAATTCAGCCTTGTGGAGCATATGTTGGAATTTAAAATTAAAAACTTTCACCCTTGATTGAACCAGAAGTTGAAATTGTCAATTCACTCAAACAAAAAGGGGGAAAATTCCAACACTATCTCACAGCCAATTCTTACGTATTTTACGAAGTGGCTAATTTGTACAAATATTTACGACCAATTTTGGACAATTTTGAACGATTTCTGTGATAGTTAAGTGTAGGGAGGGGTTAGGTGTGGTCCTTTGTACGAATTCCTACGAATATGCCACCTCATAAAATATGTACGATTTTTCACAAATTGTGTGAATTCGTACAAATGAGCGACCTTGTCAAATATGTACGAATTGCTGTGAGATTGGGTTGGAAAATTCATTGTGTATAAAAATCAAAAGTTCTATACTGCAACATGGGGTCTCTCTATCCACCTAGGGGGGCTTGACATGAAAACAGCTGAAGACCCCTGCTGTAACATATCCAAGCTCTCCTTGTTTCTTTGTTTTTGAATTCAGATTTACTGACAGTCAGCGTGCGTTATTTAAATCGCATTTGGTCTCGTACTGTATCGCGTACCTTGTCAGTGTCATGCGCTTTGCTTGGCCATTTGTTGTGATAAACAGGAAAGTGTGTCCAGCTGAATTCAATTTGAGTTTTGTTAGACGAATATGAAAAGCTTAGTATACTGCGGCAGCCCTCGTGTGAAGACTGAAGAGTGTAAAGACCATCGACTCTACCGTTCGACTCCACCGAGCAGGGACACTGGCAAGGGACATAAGTATCACTTTTGAATCATTCTCTTTCCTACTACTTGTTTCCCTTCTGTTTTCAGTTTTTATAACCAATTCTTACTATGTGTTTCCAGATCCCTACTATCACTACCACTCGCAAACCATGCATCACACACTGTAGGCAGCGCAATCCTAACAACCTGCGCACTTTGCCTATGTAAATGTTATTTTGCATATGATGTGCGTGTTAGTTTGCCATGTGTGCTTGATGCTGGCTGCAGCGACCGTCTGTCTTCAAATCTGTCTGTGGATGGGTTTGGCCCAATACCAGCTGCACTTCACTCAGCTCAATATCTCGCCCATACACATCTCTGTTGAATCCACTCGTGTATTTGCCCTGTTCCCCTCAGCTAATTTCTCACAATTTTGACCATGGAGGCTTTAATGATTGAAGTCGAAAGGCTGAAAGACTTGAAAGAAGTTAATTAGAGGTGTCCAGCAAAGGTCAAGAGAACAAGTCCTCTTAAATGAACTGCTGTAACCTCGCTTCTTATAGAGTCACGCCGCCCCGTCCTCAAGACTTTTCTTGTTCTCTCACACTGTCTTGACTGGATTTCCATTTTCGGGCCTGCTTTCTCCATCTCTTCGCTCTTTCGCATTGTTCCTCAGACAGGTTCTTTCTCTCCTCCCTTTGTTTTCTCTTGTGTGTGTGTTTTCCCTGGCTCTCTGTTCTGTCCCAGAGGGCTTTCAGTAATGCCAGAGCTGGGAGGAAATCAGTCGCATTGTGAATGCATAGTGAAGGAAAGAGAACGTGCAAGAGGGAAAGAATACAAGGAAAAAATGAAGGCATACCTGGAAACGTGACAGTGCTTGATTCTTTCTGAGCTCTCACATACATAAGCAGTCATACACACCCTAGTTGTAAACTTTACATTGTTTTCCAGAGAGGTTTATGTTCTTGTGTTGTATTATTTGTTGTATAGATCAGTCGATCTCAACTGATTTTGTTTCAGCACCCAGAATAAACAATGGATATACAGCACAGTGGCAACCCAAAAGAGAATCACAACTGTTTATTGTGCAAAAGTTATAGAAATGTTCTTAAAGTCACTGAAATCAACATTGAGATTTGTTGGTGTTTGGCAGTATTGATGATTTTGGTTTCTAAAAGACTAAAAGATTTTAATGGTTTCTTGTTCACAACCAATAATGTTTTTAATGCAGTGTGGTTTGTATTTATCTTTTTGTCCTTGTTTAGTTTTGTTCATGGTTTTCAAGGATGAGGACATATCCGCTCCATGTTGGCATCTACCTAATTTGGCTGCTTTTACTTAGTGACAGATGTCACTATTGTCGAGTTCAATTGACCCTTTGCAGGGAGTTTGATTGACAGGTGATCTGACCAGTCATGACGCCGAATCTGCCATTTTTATCTGACAAACAAACCAGACAGAAGAGTAGATTAACTTCGGTGGACTTTAAATGGTGTGTATTGACGTCTTTCCACAGTTGTAACAAAATACCTTCTGATGTTTATTCATGTTTATTTCATGCTTTATGGTTCATGTGCCGCTTGAACTTAGGTGCTAGTGATCTGTCATGACACATTAAAGAGCCACAAAATGGTATTTATTGATTGAATTTTTAAAAAAAATTAGCAAATTTGAAAACTAAGACTTACTATCACGTCTGTCGGCACAAAATCAGTTTTCTCTATTCTCTGCAATGTATTTTTCACTGCGTGAGAACATGATGTGTGGCGTGAGAGCAGCATGGCTTGTCGGACATAGCAACAGTAACAAAGGGGGGGCGGGTCTTTGCGAAGGGTCAATAATTGGACATGTGACCTTTGTGACGTCACAACAAAAACATAAGAGACAAGTTCTCCTCCCAGTTATGTTATTTATTTTGCATTTCTTAATAGTATGGTTCACGCAAAAATGAAAATCATCCATTTACTCCTCATCTAAACGTGTATGACTTGCCTTCTTCTGTAAAAAATAAAAGAAGATATTTTGATAAATGTCTCAGTGGGGTTTTGTTGTCCATACTGTGGAACTTTTTGTTTAAGATTCTTCAAAATATCTGCTTTTATCTTCCACTTACTGTAAGAAGGAATGTCATACAGGTTTGGAATGACATAAGGGTGGGTAAATGATGACAGAATTTGTAGTTTTGGATTAATTATCCCTTTAAATGCATGATTATATGTTATATGGCGAAATCTCTTTAGGGTCCAAGCAGTTGAGAACCACTAGTTTTAGACCTTATTCAGGGTAGACGTCATGTTTCATTTGACTTAAATGACAATGTCAAATAAACTGTTATTATTATTATTATCAAATGAAGTGGAAAGGACAGTGCATCCATTGCATCATATGTTAAGATCCTACAAAATGCCATTTTTTATTGAAAAATTCCAGATTGTTTCATCAGCTGAATGATTTCTCCCCAGATACACAACAGCATGACATAAACTTCCATCCATCACAGCCTCATTTTCATTCTCATCACATGAAATATGCTGTCTGCTGTGACTAATGGATATTACTGTAGCTACACACTCACAGAAGCTCAACTAACAGATTCATTGTGTTACCAATGAGAAGCGCTTATTGTGTCATCTTTCTGCAGTTACGCAATCTCAATAATAATAAGCTCCTCAGACATATTCTGCATACAAAAACAAGATAAAAAAACACCACATGCTCATACATGACTTAAAGACATGAGAAATTAAATAAGATAATTTGAGATATAAATGAGATAATAGATCTAGTTATTAGACACTAGTTATTTTTTAGCAATGACGGGTAACACATTGAATTTAAACATGAAATTTTGAAGTGGACAGGCTGAAATAGTATTTTTTATTTATTTATTTATTTTGTAAAATGTACTCCAATAACCTTTTGTTTTATATTTAACTTCAAAAATAAAAAAAAATAAAAATAATAAATATATATGTATATATATATATATTAGTATTCTTTTTTTTTATTATATATATATTAGTATTTTTTTACAGTGGTCCTTGTGGAATGAAATAAAACGATTAGTCGACAACAGTGATGCGTCTTACTAAATGTGGTTTTCTATGTCATCATTACTTGCGTGTGTATGTGTTACTGTCTGTGTTGCCGTGACGTGGTAATCGCGCACACACTGACTCCCAGCAGGGACAGACGTGACACACTGACTGAGTCCTATCAGAGAGATACCACACACACACACACACACACACGTATATTTCATCATAATCCTCCAACCCTCTTCTTATTTTCCCTCCGACAGGTGGGCGTCAGGGCAAGCTGCCAGTGACCGCATTTGAGGCCTTCGACCTTGAGATGAAGAGCTGGACGCGGTACCCGTGCATCCCGAGCCGCAGAGCGTTCTCCTCATGC